GCAACAACTCTCAGTTGTGCTCTCATTTGGCGTCCACGTGGGGCCCTGAAAACCGCTGTCTAGCTGTTGCTGCTGGGGATGATGGTGTTGAAAGTGCCGACTGTGTGGAGGGCGTCGCAGGGGCTATCCTGTCGGAGATAGTCCAGAAGATCGATCAAGCTGCCGCCCTTAGGAAGAAGAACCGAACAAGTGTCCGGACGTCGGAGGCGAACAGTGATCTGGCGCCTATGATAGCCGGGCTAGTTGAAGATGTGGAATTGGCCAATAGAAAAGAAGACCACGTTGCGATCCCACAAGAGGTGCGTGCCTTACCCATGACTGATATTATAGCACTGCCTGAAGCAGCTCAGTCAACCAAGCGGACGGAGGAGGCACTGGGGATGCGGTTGCGTTCTGGTCGAGCGAAGCTCCACGCTCCAGCCAAGAGGAAGGCACGAGAGCCTGCCGTCCGCAGCAGTTTAACCACACTGGCGTATCTTATCGTTTTTATTGATGACCGCCGGGACGAACCAGAGCGTGGACGGTGCTATCGCGTCCGATTCAAGGATGGGTCTGAAGATTGGCTTCGTCGTCGAGGCCTAGAAGAAGACGGCAACACCCAGGATTGCGACTTCGTGGACGCGTGGTATGATTTAGACAAATGCCGTACCAATCCGTTCTGCAGGTTCTTGAATGGCATACCTGGGTACCGCTCTCACCAGAAGGCAGGAGAAGATGCGGACTGTGTTCGTCTCGCAGTGAATGCCATATACAAGCGAGAAGGTTGGGCTCCCCTTGTGTCCAGAGAAGACTGGGAGATTTTCTCAGGGCAAAAAATATCAGCTTGGACGAAGGACTCAAGTTAGGCGTGCTCCTAAACTGGATCGAAGAAAATGGAGATGCATCTAACCTGCGCCTTGACCGAAGCTACTTCGCCAAGAAAGAAAATTTATTTAACGGACGGTGTGACGGTGTTGACGGCATATTCGACCTGGAATTGGAGCCTGGGATATATCTAGTGAGCTGCGGCCTCTCGGAGACTCTGAGTCACTGTATGGCACTGGAGGTGCTGGACAAGACACGCAGCCACCAGGTCTA